TTGGCATTGGCTACATAGTAGTCTCTTTCTCCCTCTCTCTCCTCTCTCTCTCTCTCTCTCTCTCTCTGTCTCGCGCGCGCACACAAACACACACACCTGATGATAATAGAGATAATCCAGTGCTAAGGCGATCACACACCATGATTCACTTAGAAAGTCTGCAGTTCCAATATATTTCCTGGTGGAAAGGAGGCCCTTCTGAATCAGAGGCAGTTCTTCGGGCATTTCCATAAGCTTGCCAAGAAGAGGAATTGCTAAGGCCTCGCGAAGGAACAGGTAAAGAAAGAGGAGCCGATCCCAGAAACGATGAAGGATGAGAGGAAGTCAGGAAACCTCCTGAGGTTTCTTGCAACTGTTTTAGCTGAGGTGTTGGCAGAAAGAGGAGTTTTATCAAAGACAACACCTCTGTGTATTTGAATGAAAATTGTACTCCTTTCATCCAAAATACAGTGAGTTAATCCTTTCTGGCCAGAAAGCTCAGATGTGGCTCTTTCTTTCCGGCGCCTTTCCCTTCCATACTGGGGAGCGCCTGCCACCTAGTGCTCATGAACTATACTGCAAGAATTGGAAATAACCTGTTCCTCTGAGTCCGGATGACCACTCATTCACAAAAGTGTTTGCTGGGTGGCTGGGTGGCTGGCTGGCTGGCTGGATTGATTGACTGATTGATTGAGACAGGGTCTCGCTGTGTAGTTCAGGCTGGCCTTGAACTCACTATGTAGTAGAGGCTGGCCTCGAACTCACGGCCATCCTCCTGCCTCAGTCTCCGGAATGCTGGGATTACAGGCGCGCACCACCACGCCCGGCCACCAAAGTATTTAAAGAAGGCCCAAGCCGAGTGACTTCTGTTCATTTTTTTGTTTTTGCTGTTTGTCTTTGAGACAGGGTCTCGCTCTGCACTTCAGGCTGGCCTTGAGCTCACTTTGTAACCCAGGCTGGTCTCGAACTCACAACGATCCTCCTGCTTCAGCCTCCCAACTGCTGGGATTACAGGCGTGCGCCACAACACCCGGCTCCCTTTCATGTTTTTTAAAAAAATCAGAAATAGAAAAAAATTATTAATCTTATTGGATTGCTGTAGTTACAATAAATTTCTCTTTATTTCGAAGGTGTTTCACAAGCTTAAATACCGCAGGGTTTCTCACACATGAGAAACCCAAAGAATAGAGCAAACTAAAAGATAAGAGGAAACGGGGAGACAGATCTTTCGCAAAAGCGAAAGGAACCCAGAGATGGAGGGAGGGGAGGGGAAGGCAGGAAGGAGATCAAAGCGGGACTGAGTTGTGTTATGTTCCTGTACCAACTCCCCACAAGGTTTGAGATCTTTACGTCCTGCAAACACGTGCTTATTAAAGATTAAAAATTGAGAAAAAAAGAAATTTTAAGGTGTTTGAAAACTCTTTCATCTTTGTGCTCATGGAAATAAAAGGTAGTTGGGCCTTAGAGGTAGAGTGAGGCTCTAGGACCTTCTAATTGCCCTACAAAACTCACAAGCTGAATGATCTGTAGTCTCTGTGGTCCCAGTCCTTCCCAGGGGTGCCAGGCAGCACCGGGCCAGAGCCTGTTTGGAAGACCTGACAGAGCTGCCCGCTTAGCACCCCCAGCCCCGTCCCCTGCGCAGGCATCTCTGCTTTACCCGCCCCGCTCCCCACGTACACGTCTCCACGCAGGCAGCCCATCTAATTCAAATTGCAGATAGTAATATGCGCCACTAAGTATGCGCTGGGGGAGCGATGCGGGGGAAGTCGTGTTTGCTATCCTCTTGTTCTACCTTGTCGCCCCCGAATCACATTTCCCTCCCCCGGGTCTCTTGGACTGGAGCATAGCTCAGTTCTTTGTTTTCCAGTCTTTCACTTTCCCATTGCCCTCAAACTTCCACGTACAGGTGTACAGAATTTCCCCCCTGTGCTGGGGACCGGAAATAGGGCCTTCACACCGAGTTACACCCCCAGTAAAATGCTCAGACAGGAGTCACTGAGTGGCTCACTCTGGGATTGAATTTGTGGTCCTCCAGCCTCAGTCTCCTTGAGCGCCGGGACTGAAGGCGACGGCCGCCGTGCCATGCCCAGCTTGCAGAGCTGTTTCCTGTGCCTATTTTCTTCCTCTTCAAAAACTCCCTCAGCCAACCTACGCTTTTTGAAGCTAATTATGGTCAGCCTGTTTTAATCTTTGTTACATGCGACGTTAGATTCACAGGAAATCTGCTTGCTTGCATTCGTTTTTTGACAATTTATACCATTACAGCAGGGCTTCCCAGCTCTGGCATTCGGCTGCTATGATTGAGATGCAGAGAGCGAAGTACAAAGGAATGACATCCTTCATCAAAAGGGGTTCTTGAAGATTTGAAAAGATAAATGTTTCTGAAGGCAAGTACCTGGGCACAAAGAAGCAGCTCAACAGGCGACAGTAGCTTTTCCTTTTTTGTGGTGCTGAGGATAGCACCCCCGGCCTTGCACATATTAAGCCTGTGATCTACCACTGAGCTGTGTGTGCAGCTGCAGCTATTTTCTGAACCTCACTGTCCTGCTGGAGTTTTCTTATAATTACCGTCATCACCACTATGCTGGCCTCCAGGGTATATACTTCTTTCAAAGCCCTAAATCCTTGGTTCTTTGTTTGTTTTTTCTATAGAGCCAGGCAGGACTTTTGTTTTTGTTTTGAGCCAGGGTCTCACTATGTAGTTCAGGCTGGCCTTAAACTCACTGTGTACACTGGGGCTGGCCTCAAACTCGCAGAGATCCTCCTGCCTCAGCCTCCTGACTGGTAGGACTACAGGTGTGCTCCACCACTCCCGGCCCAGGCAGGATTTTTTAAAAAAGGCATTACTAGCAGGAACCAATGATTATCACTGGGCAGAGAAATTATGGATAATCTTTATTTTCTTATGTTTTTGTGCTCATTTACATATTATTCTTATATTAAAAAATGAGACACACAAAATTCAAAGACAAAACAATTAATGGAGATATAGCCAGCCAAACAAATAGCAAGTTTATAACTTCCTACCTACACAGCCAATTTTCTCCCAAAACTCCTGCTCCCCATCTATTCTAAGGTCCTGCCAAAGCACTTCAGGTTTTCATTTTTTTTTTTTTTGCAGTGCCGGGAACTGAACTCATGACCTTGCGCTTGCCAGGCAGGTGCTGTGCCACTGAGCTAAATCCCCAGCCCCGTTTTCATTTTCAAGCAGTTTCTCCTGATCCTCTCAAAACACCTTACTGAGAAGCTGTGGGTAGACTATGGAACCCATTACTCCTTTGGAAGTGGATAATCTGATCCACAGCCTTAGGTAGGTATCAGCAAGTAAATCATGCAGGTACGGAGGCTTCCCTACTGACTTATTCTTGCTCAGTTTCTCAGAGAGGGCGTAAAAGGTTATGTTTTCCTGGGACCACATTATATTTGAGTTTAAAGGAGCATCTTAGTCTGTTTTCTGTTGCTATGACAAAGCACCTTAGACTGAATAATTTATAAAGAATAGAAATTTATTCCTTACAGTTCTGGAAGCTTGGAAGTCCAAGATCAACGTGCCAGCATCTGCTAAGAGCCTTACTGCCGTGTCCTCAGATGGTAGAAGGCAGGAGGGCAACAAGGCTGAACTCATTCCCTCAAGCTCTTTTATAAGGGCACCTAATCCCATTAAGGAGGGCCAAGCCTCATTGATTTAATCACTTCCTGAAAAACCCCGCCTTTCAATACCACCACCATGGGGACTAAGTTCAACATGAACTTTGGCTGGGACATCCTCATTTAAATCATAGGAAGAGGCTGTCCAGAGGATATGAAAGTGCAACCTGGGCCAGTTAGGTAGGATGGTAGAACCTGATAGCAAACGTGAGATTTTAGAGTCTGTGAGTGCCTCAATAAGAGGAACTTTAAAAGATACACAATTTTAGGCAGAACATTAACAAATGAAGATGACAATACAAATGTTTGGGCTGTACTATTAACAGTCCTTTTTTTTTCTGGTTTTTCTCTGGTACCGGGAACCGAACTCACGACCTTGCGCTTGCCAGGCAGGTGCTTTTGCCGCTGAGCTAAATCCCCAGGCCCTATTAACAGTCGTTTTACATGAATGGCTTACCCATTCTACCTACTTGTAATGCCTTATTGCCAATTACGTATCATTTAGTTATAAAACTAAATGGGTCATATGTTCAACATTCACAGCTTTTTGTTCATGTGTCATCGTAATTATCTGCTTACATAGTTTGCTCAAAGTAAAAAAAATAGAACGTTAGAGTCACTCTTACTCAGGACTTAAGTTTCTCTTTCTGGTTTATTGGATCAGATCTAATGACAGCTCCTCAGATATTAAACCAAATAATTTATAAGTGAAAAGCTATTTTAAAGGAATAATTTAAGTAAAATTATTCGCACAAATTGGAAAGAAAAAGATTTCTTTGTTATAGAGAAAAAGTTAAGTTTGTGGTATTTTGATTAAAAACAGTCTGATTATTCCTTCATACCTTCTACTCCCTTTCCCTCGGGAGATTATTTTGATTTCTCCAAGGGTGTTGGAATTATGAGGAAATTACCACACCCTCAACTTTACATTTCAGAGTCCAGTTTAGTTCTTCTCCCCCTCTTACCTCCCCGACCCCCTTCTTTTTTTTTTTTTTTTGTGGTTCTGGTGACCAAACCCAGGGCCTTTTGCACTGAGCTACATCCTCAGTCCTTTGTTTTATGACAGGATAGCCCTGAATCAATAAATTGCCTGGGTTGGGTTTCAACTTGTGATCTTCCTGCCTCAGCCTCCAGAGTACCGGGATTACAGGCATGAGCAAGCACTTTGAAATGGTTGATTCTTTCTGACTCTTTTGTCTATTCACTGCTTGGTGAGCCTGGGATAATTTTTTCTTGCTACCAACCAGGCACTACCATAACAAGGACATTTATTCCCAATACTCATTAAGTACAACAGTGACATCAGCTATTGTCTAAATATTTTCTAAAACATCTGAAAAGTTTGAGAGAGAATCTGAGAGACTGCCCATACATAAAGAGGTAGAAAAAACATGTTTATTAGCACGTTCAAGGTAGTCAAGATTTTAACAAACATCTTAATCCTCACAACAACCCTGTGAGGTAGGCATGTCATTGTTTTGTGAGAAACTAATATTCCAAATAAAGTGCAATTTATAAAGGAATAAATCTGCATTAGGAATAACATTGCTGATATTAATAATTTGCTAATTATGCCACTTATACATACTCTAATATTTGTGTTCTTATATATTTTGATTCATGCAATACTATAATATGTTATAGGTTACGTTTACTGTAAACCAAATCCTAGCTTTTACACTTGGGGACTATTTAAATAAATACTGGGATAAGGGTTTTCTTTGTTATAAAATAAATCATATTTATCTTAGGTATAAAAGTACTTCTCGTAGTATTCCCTCAGAGTACGGAATTCTCAGCAATGTTTCACCCACATTTATCTATTCTTATAGAAAGTTATCTCAACACGGCACCAAGGCAAGATAAGACTTAATTTACTGGATGAAACCTTAGCAGTTTGGTATATGGCAGTGAACGGAGCAGTCCTGGAGACATCTTCAAATATATTGCACCTAATCTCAACCCCAAACCTAAAGCAGATTGTGTTGAAATGTAAACACTGAAATGAATGGGGACAAGCTCCGAAAAGTATTTTCCCTTGAGAATCTTCATTATTTTCCTTTAAAAGGAAGAGCAACACTTACAAAAAATATTTTGGTATCTATAAAATTCTAGTGACATATTGCAAATCAAAGCTTCATAGTATCAATTACTACCTACAAGATGGCCGGCAAGTATTATTCTAAAAATTTAGCTTTTCCTCTGGGGCAGTATAAAACTTAACTAGGTAAAGGATATTGGGCTGGACATATAGTTAAACAGTAGAACACTTCTCATATATTTAAAAGTCCTTTTTGTTAGCCCAACACTATGAAGCATCCAGTCACATATTATTTTTTATAGTTGATTTTTCTGTAACGTGACTTTTTATTGGAGAATTTCCATTACATTTAACTATGAGGCTAATATTTAGGGTAGTTATATAATTTATTCTGAACAGTAACTTTAGGGTTGGAAGCTTACTTAACACTTGGAAATCCACTGGCAGGTTTACAGTATTTTACCCAAGTAGTTACAGTAATTTACCATCATTTAAGCCCAGGAAAAAATTCTCACATGAAAAAATTGCTGCAAGGAAATTAGGTAAAGCAATGGGTAAAATTAAGTCATCCATAAATTGTACATTCAAATTCATACTAAATCTCTATAGTGCACTTTGGATACTAGTTGAGGTAGGGCAAAGAGATATAGTCAGATATATCCTGAACTTTTAAATTTATATAAATTAAAATACTGACTGTTATCCAGGTTTTACCTGTATATCCAAAAAAAAAAAAAAATTTAGAATTCAGTGACAAAGTATTCTCTTAAATTTCTTTCAATTTAAAGATAGAATTGTAAAAACTTTTGTGGAACATATAAATTAAAAATACAAGGACTATAGATACATTTTATTTCAACATAAAATATGCTTGTATAAAAATAACCAGGAAATATAAAAAAGAAATACAAATTTTTGCATAGATCTTCTATATAAAACATTTACCTGGAGCAAAACACTGGGAAATACACCTCTGAAACTAGTATAGTTGAACTGTTTCCTTGGATACCAAGTATACACAAAATAAAAGCCCTTCATCCTGGTGGGGGGCACGGGCAGGCGGGAGAACAACTGAATTTAGCATCAGTCTGTATTTATTTCTCTGTTGCTCGAATATAAACCAATGATGACAAGAGGAGAAACTCTGGGGGTTTATTTAACAAAATTAAATTCACATTTCTGAGGCCATCATAGTGCATCCAATGTCCATCAATCTGGAAAGCTGCAGAATAATGATGCTCCTCTTTGTTAAATAACGTGGCACCTTCCAACAAGTATCTACAAACGAAACGATGAAGTGCAGCAGAAAACTGTAATACCTTGTTTTAAGAAGGATCGCTCTTTAAATTCTGAACTAAAGAATAAGACTATTTGCATTCTGTTTCTTAAAAAAGATATCCATCCAAATAAATCATGTACTATACATTTCAAGGAAAATGTTTTAAAATTGATTTAGGAGTTAAAAGCCTATTTCAACAGATAAACTCATAATCTACATTCTGTTAAAAAAGAAACATATATAAAAACTTTTAAAGGCAAAAGTTAGAGGAACCCTCTATGTTATTTCTTCTCCTTCCCTTTCCCCCTATCCCCTTCCCCCTCCTCCTCTTCCTTCTCCTCCTCCTTTTTTTTTGTGTTTTTGAGACACTATACAGTTCAGGCTGGCTCTGAACTAACTAACTAACTAACTAACTAACTAACTAACTAACTAACCAGTCTGGCCTCAAACTTGCAGTGATCCTTCTGCCTCAGCCTCCCGAGTGCTGGGATTACAAGTGTGTGCCACCACGCCCGGCTAGCTTCTGATTTGCATGCAGGTATTTTTATTTATAATAAGGATAAATAACAAAGTTTAAATGATGATCTCTTGAATAATACTACAGGGTACTTTGACTTAGAATACAAACAACAGCAGTATTTACTGTCTGCTTACTATGTGTCAGGCATTATCCTAAACACTTAGCATATACATACTGTATTATTAAATCCTCACAATAATGGCACCAAGTAGATACTGTCACCTCTGTTTTACATATAAGAAAACTGAACTAGGCATGGTGGCACAGACCAATTGTAGCACTCCAGGAGGTTAAGGCAGATATAACTCAGTGAAAAGGCCCTAGATTCAACCTCTAGTACTGCCAAAAGACAAACAAAAAACTAATGTGTACACTTGTTAAGTTATTGTCCTTATATAGCTTGTGAAAGATGGGATAAGATTTGAACTCAAATCTGTCTGTCCCATGTCACTATGCATACTGCTAGTGACTTCTCCCTTAACAGATTCTAATCCTACTCAGAATATAAAAATTTACAGACAGCTAGGATTTTTAAAAACAATATCTTAATGGCTAGTCAAAACTGTGATAGACTACTTATTTTTTACTAGTTGTTTTGAAATATGCAAGCCAAAAACACCTACTTGTGGTCGGATAAGTCCAAGTAATACGGTACATATGCCAGGTCCTCAGACTTCCAGTGCTGCATATTTAAGACGACAAAAGGAGGTGCTCCATGGCAGAAAACTCGCTGGGAAAATTCTCTTAAGCCGCCACACCTAAATGGAAAATGGGTATGAACATTATTACACTTGGGACAAAGCTGCTCTTCAAAACATGTGAGTTGTATTTTTGACTTTAATTATCTATTATAGGTATGGGTAATGATATGATCTTATGTACCTATTCCTAGAAGTTTATGTTATGTTCTCTATGCTAGAAGAGATACATTAAAAACTTTTGGAAAATCTAGGTAAGTGTTCTAGGGGCTATGAAAGTGTGAGTCTGCTGAATTGTATTAAAAGCTTTTACTTATAGATACATTTTTCTTCTTATCCTGCTTTCTTTCTTTCTTTTTTTTTTTTTGTCTTTTTGAGACAGGGTCTCTCTATGCAGGTCAGGCTGGCCTTGAGCTCACTTTGTATCCCAGGCTGATCTTGAACTTGCAAAGATCCTCCTGCCTCAGCCTCTCGAGTGCTGGGACTATAGGCATGCGCCACCACACCTGGCTGCTGCTTTCAAATAATGACAAAGACAGGAAATATATGACTAATTTTTCCTTTTTCCATTGAAGATCTTCTATTAGTATGATGCAAATTTTTTCTCTTTCTTTCTTCTTTCTTTCGTCCTTTGTTCGTTTGTTCCTTCCTTTCTTCATTCTTTCTTTCTTTTTACGGAAATGAAGACCAGCATACAACAAATGCTGCACAGTAAAATTTCAGTTAACCGGAATGCTCAGGGAATACTCTTCGGTTAACAAACATTATTGACTATGTTACATTAACCAGAAAACCATTTACTTCAATGCTTGTTGCTAAAATATATTACTTCAGTTTTTGGACTTAATAAGAATAATGAAGCAACTGTGTTTTTGTCTTTCCTTCTTAGTGGTTAAACAGTTATAAGATCATTTTTCTAAATATTCCTTCTCATTGTACAATATGGAGACACTGAAATTGCTAACAGACTGGGATTAATGTGTTTTGCCCCTTTGGATGTTTTTTCCTGTATTAAATTTTTTGGTTGAAATTAATAAATCTCCTTCTCCTAAATGAGGAATACAGGGGGAAAAAAAATCCAGTTGAGGGTTTTGGCGAGTGGGGTTCTTGTTAACCAGGTTTTAATGGGGAAAAGAAAAGAAAAGAATAGGTATTTGCTTTGTATCTGTGAATTAGCTGTCGTACCATACTCTCTAGAGGGATACTTGATAATGAAAATACAACATAAGATGGCACAGTAAAGATTCACACAGTGTTAGGCTTCCTCAACACTTCTAAGTTGCTATTTCACAATGTAGTAACTTCAAAGAGCAGATCGGTCCAGGCTTCCTTATAAACAAAAGAGTAGTACTTTCATCTTAAGTGTCTGTTGTATGCTCACCCATGCGCGCCACATAATTCAATCTTGGAACAGAACAGCTCATCCACAGCCAGTCGGATCAGATTTCCATGTGGAATTTCTTGGGGGGGACTAAAACAATTATAAAATGCATGTAAGAGCTGCTTCAACATCTTACAGGTCAATATATGATTAGGGTAACAAATTCTATAGGTCAGTTCATTATCAGCAGAATGAAGTACACCAAGACAACCTCTGTACTTCTAGATAGCATAAAAACCAGTGGAATTCAGATTGATATGTAAAGTTTTCCAAGAGACATTAAAGTTTTCTGTAAAGGGATCCCGACATGTGCAGTTGTTGCTATTTTACTTTAAAAAAAAAGTGCCTCAACTGAAGCAGTGGTTTGGTGAGTAGAAACTAAAACCCAAAGCGGGGCGTGGTAGTGCACGCCTATAATCCCAGCACTCAGGAGGCTGAGGCAGGAGGACTGCTGTCAATTTGAGACCAGCCTAGACTACACAGTGAGTCCAAGGCCAGCCTGAACTACACAGTGAGACCCTGTCTCAAAAAAACTAAAAAAACAAACAGAAAAAACACTGTTGGGCTCAGATAAAGATGTTTTAAATACAAAATTTTCTTAAAAGGGAGAAGCTTAAAACGGGAAGAGTTAGGGGCTGGGGATTTAGCTCAGCGGCAAAAGCGCCTGCCTGGCAAGTGCAAGGTCGTGAGTTCAGTTCCCGGTACCGGAGAAAAACCAAAAACCAAACAAACAAACAAAAAAAACGCAATGAGTATGGTAAAAACGTTAAGAGAAGTATAAAATATTAATGTAAAATTATAAAAATTTCATTACTGTTAAAACATTTACAGATTAAAAGACACTAGTTCTTTTCTTTCTTCTTCTGATTTTTTGTGGTGCTAGGGATAGAACTGCAGGCTTCTTGTGGCTACCACTGAGCCACACGCAGCCCATGATACTGGTATGCATGTATGTATGTATGTGTGTATGTGCGTACGTATTTATTTATTTGGAGACAGGGTCTCGCTATGCAGTTCAATCTGACCTTGAACTCACTTTGTAACCCAGGCTGGCCTCGAACTCGCCATGATCCTCCTGTCTCAGCCTCCTGAGTGCTGGGATTACACCTGGTGAGATGCTAGTTTTTAAAAAACATAATTTATAAAACACTTTTTAGTCTATTATGATGCAGGGTAAGAAAGTATTTTCCCCTGGCAGATTTCAAAATCGACACCATCAGCAATACAGAGAAACAATGTATATTTCACAAAGACTGAGTGCAATGAATTAATTAGGGAGTGTACATCCCCAAAAGGAACACTCTATTAGACTGTTTTTCTGGAACATGGGCACAAATATCTTCTCTAACAACATGTTTGGGTCTGTTTTTCCTCCACTGGCAATTACTCCTTTTCCGACTCACGTCCCTTGGGGGCTTTAACAGTGCCTGGCACTCCGCAGGGCTTGCCAGTTTGGCCCGTGTCTCTGTCATTTGCCAGCCTGGAGCGCTGCCTTCTCTGTGAAGCCAGGAACACTGCTGGCTCCGGCACTTCCCCAGCAGTGTAAAAGCTTCTTGCATCCACTCTCTCCGGACATGAAGTACCAGACTTGGGTTTCTGTCTACGATTATGACCTGGCCTTCCCAACAGAGACTATTCAGAGGGTGAAATATCCCAAAGCACCGAAGTGCTCTTCCACAGGTTAAACCCACTGTGCAAATCACCCACACAGTCTTATTAGTAAAAACAGAGCAAAACACTTCGCCTACCTAGTAATTCCATTATTTTACTACGGAAAGGTTATCACCTGCTTTTGTACATAACTACTTATAGCTGAAGGCAATGTTCACTAAAAAAAAGTGCACAGGGTGAGACAGACTTTAGGGCCACTTACTTTATATTAATCGTGCGCTGCTGATCTTCCTGTACTCTTGTCGGGCATCGCCAGTTGGAACAGTAACTTTCTTGAATGGTAGACATGAGATTTTCAAGATTTTTTGTAAAGTTATCATGCTCATTCCCAAACAGATCAATGATCAAGGAAGCTTTATGAACTTCAGATTTGTATTGCTGCTTTTCCATCTTGTCCCAAATCCAAAGGAGCTTCACAGTTGTAAAACTGCAGGTGTCCATTAAATAAAGGAAACAGTCTACGAACTCTCTACCAAAATGAAGAGAAAGCTCCCTGGGGAAAGTCTCATTTTCGTTAAGAATGACGTACAACAACATCAAGAATCCATCTATGGTGCAGGTATTTTTCAGTCTTATTTCAACATAGAGCGGTGTACAGGATACTGCTTTGCGGCCAGCTTTGATAGTAAAAACACCTCCCCAAGGAAGAACAGGCCTCCAAAAAGATCGATCTTGGTTATAGTTATTTTTAATTGATGCTTTGATCTCCTCAAACAGTGTCTTCATCCTGCATTTTAAAAGTTTAAGATAGAACATGTAAATATTTGAGGTATGTATAAATAAAAAAAAAAAATCAGCCTAAACAGACAGATTGTAAGATAGCCTCTCTCTCTCTCTCTCTCTTTTTTTTTTTTTGGTCTTTTTGAGACAGGGTCTCGCTATGCAGTTCAGGCTGGCTTTGAGCTCACTTTGTATCCCAGGCTGGTCTCGAACTTGCAATGATCCTCTTGCCTCAGCCTCCCGAGCGCTAGCATTACAGGCGTGTGCCACCGTGCCCGGCTGACAGCCTCTCAATGTAATAAGAAATTTAAATGTAGTGTTTTTTTGGAGGGGGAGAACTGTTTTGAGGTATAGAATGCCCATTTGATAGGCCTATAAATGAACTATGTAACAGATTTTATCTGTAACACAGAAAAACCCTGTTACAAAGTAAGTTCGTTCTCATGTATTCCTAAGGCAAGTCTTCTCTCTCCAAAATACTAGCTGTGCTTCATTCTGTTATTATAGGTGGCTCCACTTAAGAAACAGATGTAACAGGATGCTTAGTTTGGGGTGGAGAATAGTGGCTATTTACAGTAGTGGTCTTTATACTAATTATACTACAAACGTATAGGATACAAGCCGTGTAGTAATAGCACCTGTTGCTATAGATGCAGGCCAGTTCTGGCATTTAACTCTGAAAGACGACACTTGTGGAGTAATCATGCGTGTTGCTAAATAGTAACATAGCCAGTTATTTCTTTTCACTTTAGGATTTCCACTTGCAATTTAGAACTGTGCTAGATATCCTGTATTTTTAATTATAGATGCCATGCTATGAAAATCTGATTCAAGACTTGATAAATATCCGATTCTTCTATTCCCTTTCTTTTTCTGGTCTTTTTGAAATGTATTTTTTTTTTTTTTTTTTTTCCGGTACCGGGAATCGAACTCACTACCTCGCGCTTGCCAGGCAGGTGCTGTGCCGCTGAGCTAAATTCCTAGCGCCTTTTTGGTCTTTTTGAGACAGGGTCTCACTATGCAGTTCAGGCTAGCCTTGAACTCACTGTGTAGCCCAGGTTGGTCTCAAACTCGCAGCAATCCTCCTGCCAAAGCTTCGCAGGAGTGCTGGGATGACAGGTGTGAGTCACCAGCCACTATGCCCGGTTTTTTTTTTTTTTTGTTTTTTGTTTTTTTTTTCGTTTTCCCCAAGGTTTTTGAATAAACAGAAATATTCTCCCCTTAACACTGACAAGAAGTCGGGCATGCCTGTAATTCTAGCACTCCGGAGGCTGGGGTAGGAGGATCACCGCAAGTTCGAGACCAGCCTGGGCTACAAAGTGAGCTCAAACCGGCCTGAACTGCACAGTGAGACCCTGTCTCAAAAAGACAAAAAACAAAAACAAACAAACAAAAGAAAACTCAAAACAAAACAAATCATCAAGGACAGCTAAACATTGTTTTAAAGGCCACTGGGAGTATTAAAAACAAAATAAACCACGTCATGTCATGTGTGTTACATAAGCCGAAATTTAAAAACCCCCCTGAAATTGTATAGAAAAAGTCCAGGTTTACTGGACTTCACTTTATTTGGTACAAACGTAGAAACCAAAAACATCATATTATTTTCCATGTTAAGGAAGCACTGAGCAATAGCAGTGACTTAAGTCTGTCTCACTTTGATCACCTTTTCAAGAGCTGCATCCTTGCAAGCCCGTAAGCCCAAACCTCAATAAACTGCAGACCCGAGTTATGCGTGAAAAATTAAGTTCCAAACTTTTGCCATAGTAGCAGACCAACATTTTGTTTCCGCAACATATTAAACTCCCATGAGCGGTGTTCGCCCCTTGAAGCACAGCCCTGCGCACTCCGAAATATGCAACACTATATTTAGTCTGAAGTGTAGCTGTTTATGTATCACCAGCTAACGTGTCGGCTTTAGTCAACCATTTATAGGGTGTGGCAAATCTGAAGCCTAGCAAAACAAGCTCACTTCTTAAACTTTAAAAAGTCATACGCCATTTACATGTCTTAAAAGTGAGAAGACCTTTTTTCACCGTTTGAGTTCGGCCTATTCAGTCTCTACAGAACCTTGCAGTAAGGTTCAAGACTGCTTAACGGGCTTGAGCTCCGATTCCTAAATACTGCATTGCAAGGGAAGAGTGTGCACCTCTCTTAGTATTCTTCTTCAAATGATCTCTCAGGCGTGACCAGATGAAGGGAACTGTAAAGCCACAGGTACAATCCACGAGAATTAAACTACAGCGGTACATCTGGCACAAAACTAACTTCTTTAGAGGAGGGCAGGAAGAGCTAGATGATCCTTAATGTAGTTTCAGCATGAACTAGGTGATTTGTTCAGAGGCGAACCTCAGCAAAAATAGAAGGAGGCAAACGGAGAGGGCGAGCTCCAGCCCCGGGCTTTTCTTGAAACTGACTTAAGTTGCTGCCGCCTTTTGGACCGCGGTTGTCGCGCTCGGCATGGGAAGCGCTGGGGCCGAGCCCGGCGGCTTGGCTTTGCCGCAGCAACAGGGCCTCCACTTTGGAGAGATCCGGACGACGCCCCCGCTCTCCTCGCCCGACCGGAGCACAGCTTTCCCCGCGCTCATGCCCGGGTGGCGGCGGCTCCCCGAGCTGCCCCCCCACGGCCCGGGGCCCCAGGGCTGCTCGGCCAGGCGGAGGCGCAGGGATCGCGGAGCGCGGGGCACCGTCCTGCAGCCCCGCGCCCGCCAGCCTCAGTCCCCCAGGAAGCCCGTACCTCCCCGGGGACCGAGAACCGCCGGTGCCGCCGCACCCGTCGCCGCCGCCGCTCGCTCATGGAGAGCCCGGGCCGCCACCGCCGCT